TTCCTACCTATGTAGAAAATTGGGGGAGCTGGTATGACATTCTCAAACTGCACAAGAAGGATAAAAAGAAAGGACGTTGGAAGACTTCTTTTGACCGACTCGGTTGTTGGCCCTTCTTTCGCTGTACCAACTTGAGAACTGCGAATTTCTTGTTTGCCATAGTGAAAGCCATGGCGCTGCTGTTCGTTCACAGACAATGAAACTACGATGAGCCACCGCTCTAATTGGTTAGTGTGTCGCTGATGGCCATTTATCCGTACCGTGGTTTTAAAAGCCATATACCACTATTGTTGCCATACGTCTTTTTTTAAAAGAAGAGAGATGTCTATGTGGTGGTCAATGCATCGTACAGAAACCACGGTACGATCACAGAATAATAATGATAATAATAAAAGAAATGTAAAATGTGGGTCTTTTTTTCTCGAGAGAGAGAGAGAGGCAGAAAGAGAGAAAGAGGGACGAATAAACATTTTTATTTTCAGAATGCAGCTTCCGAGATGTAGCTCTTCTTTTCGAACTTTTGTACCCTAGCCGATGAACGACCATGCATATTAAGGTGCTTATTTAAAGCGTCGACACGAATGTCTCCCATTCGTTCCTTTTTTTTTCTTCTCGAAGCTTGCATAACAAGAAAGTAAAATACGTTCAAAGAGTCCTGAAATGCTCTCCTCGATTGGTGAAAAAACACATACACTGGAAAACAGACGCTGCATGCTGCGAACGCTTCTCGAAAATCATGTAGTCGTGCGCGACAAGGAGAGTTCAGAAGCGGAGCGCCAAGTTGCTACCTTTTAAGCGTCCTATCCCCATACTGAGGCCCGTCCTCACTCTCTTCGGTGCGGCTGGTGGCTGCCGTATGACATCATACTGCAGATGGCTGCGATTCGTCGATCGCTGGCATAAGCCGGGAGCAGCGTTCGAATCAAATGCGCTTCGTGCCATGGAGTGCCACCATGCGCCGGCGTAATATAGCAACACTATACCGCATACCGGAATCACACGAGGAGAGAGATCGCGTTTCATGATATTCCTTCACGGTCATAGTAAAATTCAGGTTCTTTGTTGTTGTGGAAACCAACTCGCCCCACTCGGCGCCCGAGACGCACCACCCGAGGTGGTATACCACCTCGGGTGGGGTAAAGGGGGGGGGGGAACGTACTGCTGCTATGCACAAAGCGACGATTGACTTGCTGGTCGCTTGAAGATGAAGTAAAACGATCGAGAAGTTTTAGTAAAGCCCCCACCCCTCCACCCCCCAAAGTATTCACAGACCATAAAGAACATACACAGTTACGAACATAAACGTTACAAAAAAAAACACTTTGGTAGTGAACCATCTTCTGTAGGGCGACCCTACGTACACCTTAAGCCCGGTTCTTTTAAATACGATAGCCTTTCTTGGGGACCTTCGACGCAAAAAATTTAATCTGTCTGTCTGTACATTTGTCTGTTTGTCCGCCATTAATGTACCCCAAATGCCCCCAAACGATACCCCGAATGGCCGACCCCATCCGCAGCGCCCACCAATATTGCTCAAGGTTCAGACTTCATACTTGTGCAATTCCCAATTAAAAAGCAATTATTGCGCATATCTGAGGTATCATAACAACACGTCAATATTCTGTATGTGTGTCTTTTTACTAGGAAAGTCATAGATTAATAATTCTACGGACTGTATATATATATATATATATATATATATATATATATATATATATATATATATATATATATATATATATATATATATATATATATATATATATATATATATATATATATATATATATATATATATATAGCGTTTATCACGCTGCGCTGACAATGCATCGATTTATTGATTGATTCATATGTGAGGTTTAACGTCCCAAAACCACCATATGATTATGAGAAACGCCGTAGTGGAGGGCTTTAGAGATTTCGACCACCTGGGGTTCTTTAACGTGTACCCAAATCTGAGCACATGGGCCTACAACATTTCCGCCTCCATTGGAAATGCAGCAGCCGGAGCCGGGATTCTATCCCGCGACCTGCGGGTCAGCAGCCGAGTACCTTAGCCACTAGACCACCGCGGCGGGGCACGCTGACAATGCAACGCTTGCACAAAAAGGCAAGTGTTTCTAACGCTTTGCTAAGACGACACGGTGGTGACACCTACCCGTCGCCTTGTGTTCTACACCTCATCGCCTCCGAGACGGCCGCGCACGCCGCGCGCTTCGTTTTCCAAGATAACTGCCAGATAGCGCTCATGTCTTTCGTGTGACGTGACTTGATGCGCCCGGTCGCCTCTGCTGCACGCTCGAGGCACTCGCGCCTCCAGAATACCATTCACCCCTTTTCTTGCACAGAACATCAAATAAACATTATGTTCAATCTCTGCAGACGGAAGACTGGCGTTTTTCGACGACATTGGCAGATTAACATGCAGATACGGGGCCAATTTTTTTGTAACTTTGATGTCCGTACTTATGTAAATTCTGTACAGTCTGTAAATACACGTTTTTCTCAGCCTCACTAGAACTTCTCCGGCGTTTTTGCTTCCTATTCAAGCAACCAGCAAGTCAATCGCCGCTATTTGCATAGCGGCAGTACGTTACTTCCTCCCACTTTGTTTACCACCTCGGTTGGTGCGTCTCGGGTGGCGAGTGGGGAGAGTTGGTTTGCCAACATCAAAAGACTGAATTTTACTGTCATGACGCGAGCTGACGTAGCTTATTTACACTTTGTCATACTCTGCTGCGTAGCTTCCAGCGCGTTCATCGGGATGAAAGAAGAGGGAAAGCGCTTAATGCTTGTGAAAAATCTCTGCAGCCCCTCTCGTCCTTGACGCATTCGAAAAATTTCGTGGCGATCGATTCGGGAAGCAATAGACTCCCTATGTAAGTGCGGTCAATCGGCGATTACTTAAGAAACTGGTTCAGGACCCTCTAATAACATGCAATCTGCTGTCGCTGAATATGTATAGCGTGATGTGTTATAGCTCGCGTCTCCACCTGAGGTCATCTAAAGCCGCGGTTCCTTTTTTGTTAAAAGCACCGCTCATGCTATAGTTGGTCATACATCCCGTATGACACATGACAACTGCTGCGGGGCTGTCCTCGTCTGGGCGGTCGCACAAGAAGCATACAAACATGCACGAAAAAAGAATCGCTCGGTATATCATGGTACACCGCGCAGCTGTGCGCTCTGTGACGACGCGAGCGAGACGTCTTGGGAAGGACGCACGAAAGGTACGGAAGCTTTGCCTCCCCCCCAGCCCCCAATTCCCCTCTTCCGTGGGCGCTCAAACACAAAGAGAGCGCGTGGGGTGAGCGCGGAGGAGGCAGCCACCGGAAATTACGGGGCCTTCTGTTTTTGGACCCGAGGTCCCCGCCCTCGGCGTCCCTTAATTGTATTATCCCGGGCGAATCAGAACAATTTGTGGGCAGGCCAGGTAATTGATCGAATTGAGCCCCATATTTCGCGCTTGGCCGAGCTCTTTCTGGCCCAAATACGTGGCACGGCTCTGGCGCGCCCGAAGGCAAGCGAGGCCGGCGGCCGCACTCTGCGTCCTGGCGTCGCGTGTGCACTCACGCCGCGTTGCGCGGCGGTCGGAAAATCCACCGTTCTGTGCGATTTCGGCGGGAGAGAAATAGTTGAATACCCCTCCACGACGCTGCCACGCGTTGCTATATTGTGAACTATATATATATATATATATATATATATATATATATATATATATATATATATATATATATATATATATATATATATAATTGACCATCTCAAAGAGTCTGGGCGATTAACTAGATTACGTTGCCCGTTGTTTAATTTGTACGCGGGCTTTAAAACTGTGGACGAAGCTTTCTTGCTTTAATATAGGATTTGCAGGAGATGGCATTTGGCGTCGGTTGCTCTTTTTCACCCAAAAATGCAAATTTTCAGTCACTTGCATGTTGAAGGTGTTAAAAAAAAAGTCCACTCATGTTCAATGTCAACTTATATAAACAAGTAAAGCGCTCGTGATCTCATAGTCAAATTGCTTGAATTAATAAAATGCGTTCGCTTTCTGCTACTTTATTGAAGTGAAGGTGCTAGAAAAAGAAATAAAGAAAGACGATATACGTTTACAGGAAGTCTTATGAGCTCATGCACCTAATTGAATGTCAGGTCTATTAAAATACACACATAAAGTTTACAACAGACGCAGTGCAGAATATTTCAACAGAATATCGCTCGCTTTCGAAAATCTCCGAAGGGCCCATAGCAGTGTGGCTCGAAATGAACATGTTGTTAATGGACCTAGGATATTCTTGAGGGTGCAGTGCCTGCAGTTCAGAGCCATTAAATCTCTGATTAAACTTGGTATTTTGCGTCGTGTCTGTGACTACTGCAGTTGACCACGTGACCAGAGTCCACTCAGTGATGGTGAACACTTGTTCGTGCGAGCCAAGCCGTGAAGTAGCCAAGCTAAAATCAAGGGCACGAACGTCTGCTTGTGCGTTCCCACTTCTCGTACAGACTGAATACGTTATCCCGCAATATGCGGATAGCAAAAGTATAACACAAACAAAAGCTATATACGGTGTCATGCATTGTTAGTAGAAATGACCTGCCTGCTATCGATTGCTGTTTGTAGCATACAACGCAACATCTAATTGATTTTAATGAAAAGCCGCACTAATTGCATTAACTAGTCCGAAACGCTGGAGCCGTTGAAACGATAATAAACCCTCCCAGATTACAGGAGTTCGCAAGAATTATGTCTTATAGCTTGCGCTTAAATTTTTGACGGTGCATATCCACCAACTCCTCGTGTTTCTGTTTTACTTCATGTTTCTTCTCATTGCCGCCCCCCTCCTCGCCTCCTTCCGCTTTCTCTCTTTAAAAAAAAAGGTTCATTCATCGTCAAATTCTTCAGGCTTTCCAAGGGAAGTATAGATAAGTTGCTTCACATGCTTGTTAGCTAGCAATACATCTTAATAAAATAAAAGGCATATACGAAGCATTTCGTGTACCACAGCAATGTCTTCAATCCCTGCAGGTTTGCTCCTGTGGTGATGATGACGAGAACGCTCGCCACGTTTTCCTGGGCAGGCATGCAGGTGGCAGCTAGAACAAAAAGGACACATAATTCATTCAGGCAGACATCTCTCACACGTCCAAGTGATCGGCCCTTCTACGTTGAAACGAACACACGAGAAATGAAACCTCTCCTGAGCGGAATGCATACAAAGCTCGCGTTGCAAGTGCCGCACTATATAGCCTGTTTTACACATCACTTCAGACAAGTTTCGCGATTTAGTAAACCGGAGCCCAAATACACAAACATTATCGCTTATTTTTGCCTTGTGGTGCTCTGTGCGTTCTTTGCCTTTTTGACCACATCGATTTTACTAATATGTTCAGCCTCAATATAATTGATTAATATGTGGGGTTTAACGCCCCAAATCCACCTTATGATTAGGATAGACTCCGTATAGTGGAGGGCTCCTGAAATTTCGACCACCTGGGGTTCTTTGACGTGCGCCCAAAGCTGAGCACACCGGCCTACAGCATTTTCGCCTTCATCGAAAATGCAGCCGCCGCAGCCGGGATTTGATCCCGCGACCTGCGGGTCAGCAGCCAAGTACCTTAGCCACTAGACCAACGCGGCTGGGCTTCAGCTTCAATGTAGGCTGGAATTTTCTCTTTAGAGCAAAATCGGTGCAAGGGCTTTTTGTCTCGCGTGTGTGCGACAGTTTTATTTCGTAAGTGTGTCGCATCAATGTTTTCGCGTTCTTTTTTAAGACGCAGCCCGGTTTTGCCCTGCGATGCTGTGTGGGTATATGAGTATCCTCCTAATCTGTGGGCCTGTCCACCTCAGACCACATTGCTGCCCCGTGTTCCTATAGTCGGGGAACAGTGTATCATTCACTGCCTTTTTAATCTACACGTAGTGCAATTTGTTCTGGCCACATGTTTCTTTATAGCGTATGCCCCAATGTGTCTCCGTGGGCTATTATACGTATTCCCGTAACCACGGTTCAGCTCATTCTGTTTTGAAGTTTCCGCCCTCAATTTCGACGCTTCATATGAATTTATATCCTGAAGTTTCGTTTATGTTAAACGTAGTCGCCATCGCCGTATAGCTAAGATGAGTGAACGGTATAGAGCAGGAACTCTCAGGGCGACTTCATTTCGGAGGAATATAGCACATAACGCATACGAGCAACTGCGTAGACTTTCGGCGCACAATGCCACGACAAGTTGCCGGCAACTTTCTGCCCGACTCTCGTGGAACACTCGGGGCGGCTGGCGTGCCGACGCGGGTTGTTCTCGCGAGCAGGTGCGCGCGTTATTTTGCAACGGGAGCGCTTCCGAGGTTGAGCGGATCGCCCGTTTTGGTCATTAATCACGCGCCATTCGGATTAAGACGGATTAGCGGCAGTCGGTGCCAAAAGAGGTGCACGACCTTTTAGCGCCCCGCTTGTCTTCCGTGGCGGCGGTTGTTTGCTTCTTTGGCTCGTTGTTTTCTGGCCGCGAAGAAGGAGTCTGAGGCCGCGCGGCCTCCATTATACACGAGACTGATTAATGACCGCGGCGCAGTTCTCAAGGCGCGCCGTTTTGCTGCAGTGGCCCTCATGGCTCCTCCGGCTTCGGCCGCACAAGTTCGGAGCGCGGGTCACAGAGCACCCGCAGGCCTATAAACAAGTCGTGCCCAGTATACGGTGCCGTGCTGCTGAAGTTTGCTGGGCCACTTGCGACACTTAATATTTATGAATGGCGCTGGAGAGAAACAAGAGAGATAGAGAAGTGTCCACACGCGTGCAGCTACCTGCCTAATAACATGCGTATGCGCATGCCAGGTGTTTCAGCTTGCTCGCAACAAACTCCGGGAAGAGATCGACTCTTGAGTCACCTGGATGATACTATCCACACCCTTCTGTGGTTTGTTTTCTAGACAGGGAGGATAGGAAATGAAAGTATTTTTTTAGGGAAGCAGAAATTTTAGGGGAGCAGAAATATTTAAAAAATGAGAGGGAAAGAGAGAGAGAGAGCACACAAGTACAAACGCACACGTTCCAGCGAGAATGAATAGCTTTTTCTGGAGGTTTCTCGTCGTTGAAATTGTGCCAGTGCCTTCAACTAATCGTGAAAAAAAAAAAACAGATGACGAAAAAAGAAGCGATATCTAGGATTAGCTAATAAACTTCACGTATCCATTCAAGGGGCCCACGTGCACTAACACAAATTGCACGGAAGCAAAGTAGCATTGCAAAGATAAGGATGCCGGTTACGGACATTCATGAGAAAGGATATATTTCGCGGCTTCAATACCGAGAGCTCACAAAGCTTGCAGGCACGATGCATAAACTCTGGATTCGGCAACTTCAGGAAGTGTACGGCTCATATGCAAGCTTGGTCCGGCTACGGAAATGCTTGAATTTTCAGGCATGTGTATCGCTCGGTTTTTCTTCTTTCAACTTCTGTATAATGGCAGGGTGATACGTTTATCCGGGCCCCGCGCGGACGAACCAATAACAAAACACGAATAGCATTCGAGTAGCAATAGGTAATAATATAATAATAATAATAATAATAATAATAATAATAATAATAATAATAATAATAATAATAATAATAATAATAATAATAATAATAATAATAATAATAATAATAATAATAATAATAATAATAATAATAAGTTGGGTTTTACGCGCCTTAACTGACGATGTGAGCATGAGGCGCGCCGTATATAGTGAAGTGTCTCAGAAATTTTGGTCATCTTGTGTTCTTTAATGCGTACTGGCATCGTGCAATAGATGGTCCTGCACGAGGCAGCTATTCAAGGGATGATGGAGGCTTGCAGAGATGAGAAATCATTGAACACAATTTGTCGCTTCAACCATCATCGCTTCGATAAGCAAACTCGTCTTTCTCGCGTGTCTTCGTCGCATTTCATCTTAGACGGCTTCTCGTGCACTTCAAGCCCCCATGTTCTCCTGAACATGTGTCCCGGTTGAGGCTTTATGTAGGAATTTATTTCTTTTTCTTTTGGGAACACTTTTACTGTATTAAAGAGGTACAAGTGTATAAGTTCGCTTGGTGGTATACTTGAATCGAACTATAGAAAACATAAGTAGAAAAACTTTGTCAAGAAAGGAAACACAACACGGCGGTGTTAAGCAGGAAACACAAGATGCGACGGTGGTGGGTTGCGTCCCTGCAGCGAGAAATACCAACAGATGGGCCTCCCTATACATTTGATGTCTCTCTTTCAAGCGTCTTGAGTTGCGCTTTAGGAGTGCTCTCGCGGCGGTCGCCGTAGACATCAACGCGGATGCACCGTGCAAAAGCGCTCACAGGCCAGGCATGTTTCACATGCTGCTGCTTTTGCTGAGGCGCGATAGCCTTACAGCTTAACCAGCCCTGATTGACATCAGCATTCCGTAACGGTCGTCACAGCAAAATAGCTTTTGTGGAGTTTTTTTATGAGCGAAGCTCCTTAAGCTCGCACCGCGCCTCCGTCGCCGTCAAAGCACTCCCCATCCCTCTCCCACCTGTCTTCTTTTCCCTCTTTTTTCGTCTCTGCCCTCTCCGCTTAAACCGGGCAACACGCGAAACCATCGCTTCACAATGTCGTCTTCAACGACATCTTCCGGGTTTCACTTTGCCCAGTTGTTGGTCCGTTCTTGGGCTGGCTCGCGCTGCGCCGCGCGTGCCGCACACTGACTCGCTGAGTCATTCCCGCCAACGATCGCAGCCAACGCCTCCCCACCCGCTCCCACCCTACCACCTTCACGAAAAACAGCCGTGAGATCAGGCGCATAGTCGTGGGCGTCCCATTTCTAAGGAGCTTCGCTCATCGGTTGTATTCGTACACGGAACAAGTGCTAGCTTTTACGTACCGCTGCACAGCGCATTGCAACCGGGGTGCAATGCGCTGGTGTGCAGCTCAAGTTTCGCGAGCAGACGCACTTCATGTGCCTCCTTGCCATGGGTGTGGCGTGCAGCGGGATGTGCATTGTTCGCGACCCTCCATAATAGTGTTAAAAAACAGTTTTTTTTTTTGCCTAAACACCGGCTTTATTCTATGCGCTCGTGAGATTTTTCGGGTGCAGCATCGGCATTTGAAGTTACAATCAACATTTGTAGTGGACATAAAAGCAGGAAGCAATGAAGGGTACGCGATGCCTGTTCTACTTGCGCACAGAGTGACTTCCTCTTCAAGTAATGCGTGATATTTGTTATCACCTAAAAGTTTCAAGTGGTCTTTACTTTACACGGCTAGCTTATGTGTATATCCCGGTATGTTATTTCAGACCGAGTGTTTCTTTTCTTTCTATAGTTCGCGCTATTTTCATGATTGGACGGATGGAGTTCTCACTCTTGGGACTGGAGAGCGGGCGATAAGTAATATGGAGGAGAGAGGAGCGAATAAGAAGCGCAAGTTGCGGGGATGGAGTTGGAGTTTCGCCTATCGGTTGGCGTCAGCGTCGGATAGAGACGTGATGTTACCGAGACTACGCGTATGGCTGTGACGTTTGGGCACGTATTTAGAAAGCGTGGTACACTTCAAAAGTACATAAGAGAAAAATTTAGTCAATAATTGGCTCGGCAAATAATTAGCAAAGATGGCAAGCCAATGGTAAAAGTCGCGAACGAAAGGCTTGTTGGATTCAGCCCCTGTTCTAGAGCAATATCATTATCTATCCAGCTTTTAGAAATCGTTGTCGCTGACGTTTCTACCAAAAAAAGTTTCGTTTTTTGTGACTGTGTGCATTAAGTCAGTTAACCGTATAGACAAGCAGCTGGGTCATATGCAAAATCTATATCGTTGACATCGACAATCATCTGCGACAGCTTCTGGGCAAAAGTGCTAAATTTTAAGTAATAATTGTTAGGATTTAACGTGTTAAAAACCGCAATATAATAGGGACGCCGTATAGTCTAGCGTTCCGGAGATTTCGACCACCTGGGGTGTTTAACGTGCGCCCAAATATAAGCACACGCAGAGTGATTACATCATTAGGGAAGACACGGCACAATGAGGCGAACGAAGACCAGTGCCGACTTGCAAGTGAACTTTATTTTGAAGAACCAGCAATTAATGAAAACGACAGCATGTG